CCTTAGAAAACATTTTGAAACACTCCGAGAGGGACCACAGGAGCATTCGAACATGCCCGCGTAGGCACGGTGTCGGATGTTTCGCGCGGGTGTGCATGCGCGTACGACATCGCATTCGAGCCCGTGCGCGTGCATGTTAGCATGCTGACATTCATTTGCGTGCGTCCATTGTTGCGATGATTTTCGAATTGGACGTCAGGAGTTCACAAAAAGGACGGACAGGACGAATTCGTTGGTCATGCAGTTGCTCACGATACGTATGCCGCGTGGCCGTACAACACGAACGAATACTTCATTATCTTGAACTTGGCTATAGGAGGCCTCCCGGGGGAGGTACACTAGTCTGCTAGCCCCAGGGTGTCTTCCGTCTCCCATATTTCCCCCCACGCTTCTGTGTTGTAAGCCCACTGCTAACAAGAGTTGCTCTCATTCGTCAGTTAGTCTGGCGACGTCCCTTTTGAAATACGGTCACGTTGTTCTTCTCTGCCCTCTTACACAGTTCGCTTGTCGGTGCCTTGGATGTTCCCTGGAGGCCGGGGTACACGAGTTGATGTGGACTTGTGGAACTCTCCAGGTGGCTGTCGTTTTTCTCCAAATTGCTCGCGAGGCACAAGCAGTCCAAACATGTTTTACTCTGTTGATAAGATCCAGTCCGTGTTCCTCCCCCGCGGGACCAGATTTGCCCGCCTTGCACAGGCGGGTTGGCGATTTGCGCATGGAAGCTAGTGCAAGCACCCCGCTCGCTTGCTCGCCCGCAGGAGTAACTGCTTGCTTGCATGCATGCATGCATGCCTGCTTGTCGTCTGCGCCCTCGTCACACACCGATGCACCACACACGCAGCAGCACCACCAGCTTATCTTATCTGAGTGAGGGGGCCGAACGGTCATTACGTCCCTATGGGTGCGTGTTTGAAGTGGAGTTCCGCGGCGCATATTCTGTTTGTTGTTGTATGTTGTGCCTTCTTGTCGTCGTCCTCGACCGCGCCCCGCCCGCGACCCACCCGCGACCCACCTCGCGACCCACCCCACAACCCACCCGCGAACCACCTACACTGCTTCGGGTGAAATTCGGAGCTTGCGGCGGGCTCGTTGCATGTTTGGAGAGAAAACAGGGGCGCCTGCGGCGGGCTTCTTCAGAGACTCGCAGATTGCCGACAGCCCCGCCGCATACTCACTCTTCTCCGCAATTGCGGGGGGGGAGCCATGTGATGTAGGAGGCGCCGAGCAGCAGAGACAGGCCCGCTGACATGTGCCCTGCGTAGGCTTCTTATCCAAGAGGCTTACGCCACTCCGCCGAGCCCCGTATGAGTCGGGAGGAGGCTGGGAGGAGGAGGAGGAGGGAGAGGAAGAGGAACGCAACAAGGAAGACGACGAAGACAAGAATGAGGAGGAGGAGGAGGAGGAGGAGGAGGAGGAGGAGAAGGACGACGACGAGATCTGTTGGAAGTGTCTTGGGGTAGTAATGTAACTGGGCTTCTTCGGGGTCTCTGCGAGGGCTCGTGGGGTGCCCTGGAGGGCCTGTTGAAGCTTTCTCAGGGCCTCTGAGGGCTCTTTGGGGGCCTCTCCAGGGCCTCATGCTGGGGGTCGTGGAGGCCATCTTGGAAGGGAGGCCCAGAGAGGGCCCTGGGGGGCCCTTCGAGTTCCTTCTCTTCGGCCCATCTTGGGACTCTCTTGGGGCCCTCTTGGGGGCCTCGTGGCCCGTCTTCAGCGGTCCAGTGGTCAGTTGGGGCTGTCCTGCAGTCCTCTTGGGCCGCCTCGGGGCCCTCTTGGGGTCTCATGGGGCGTCTTGGACCGAATCTTGAGCCGTCTTCGGCTTCCAGAGGTCCGAAAAGTTCAATGCGAACATCAGTCAAACAACTCTAAGAAATTCAGCTTTCTGCATTTTGAGGCCCACTTGTGGATCCTCTTGGGAATCCGCTTGGGATCCCTTGGGGCGATCTGGAGCCAATGGGGCCATCTTGATGCCATATTGGGTCTTCTTGAGGCATCCTCGGCGTGTTCGAGCTCTTCCTGAGCTGTCTTGGGAGGTATCTTCGACATCTTGGAGGCGTCTGATGGTAAATTTCGAGTCCCCGAGTGCCCCGAAGGGGCATTCACGAGCTCGTTGCACGCACGCACGCACGCACGCACGCACGCACGCACGCAGCACGCACGAACCCACACACACACACACACCCACACACACTTACACACACACACACACACACGCACGCACGCACGCACGCACATGCACATGCACATGCACATGCACATGCACATGCACACGCACACGCACACACACAAACACAAACACAAGCACACACACACATACACACACACACCTCAAACGGCATTTTGGATCCCAGGGGAGGAGAAGGGGGATGAGGATAGCCAATCATCTCACACGCCTTTTCACCCCGGGCAAGCGGGGGCCAGCAGATTCTTTGATGGCTCTGGGGGCCCGTATGGCACCTAACGAAATCGACTGTACCAGTTCAGGCTGGAATTATGCCTTGAAAGTCTGCGCAGCAGCATGTCTTTTTATGCGGACCAGTTGTGGTACACCACGTCCATGTGGAGTCAGTTCTGGTATATCTGATTTGCTTTGGTCTGCGCCGCGCCCGCTTAGTGCAACACAGCGGAAGATGAGCGATGACATGTTGTAGCTACATGTTACAACTACCGTATGTATGTATATATGTAAATACATACTCATATATAGACGTGTTCACACACATCTATCGTATAAACAAATGCGCCCCACTGGGCTCCGCCAACTCCGCTACCATTTCCGGCAACTCCCCGGTACCACCTTCCCAGGCGTCCAAGAGAGCCTCTTGGTTAGCCTCAAGACGGCCCAGGACGCCCCCGAGGCAGCCCAAGAGTGCTCCAAGGCTGTCCAAGCCAGCACCCCGACAGCTCTGGAAGCCTTCTTGCGTTCCGTTGCACCGTGGCTCCGAGCGCCCCATGGCTCGTGGCTCCATGGTCCCGTGGCGGCCCGTGGTTGCTCGGCATTCTGGCCCGCGACCTCGATGGCCGCGTGTCCCCGCGATGCCGCGGCTCTCGGCGCCGCAGCGCATTTGCGACGGGGCCGATCGCGGAAGCCTTGCGGTGCCAAATGGTGGTGCCCAATCCGCTCGTTGGCCTCGAATTCCGAGAGGACACACGACGCTGGCCATACCATTCCCATAGAGATCATGGCACGGACACGAGTTTGCCAGGAGCACATGGCCACGGCCATGAGTTCCGAGAGAACGCATGGTACTGGCCTTGGAATCGCCAGAAACCAAGGGGCACGGACACGAGTTTGCCGGGAATACATGGCAACGACCATGTGTTCCGAGAGAACACATGGCACTGGCCATGACATTCCCAAAATCCACACGGCACGGACACGAGATTGCCAGGAACACCTGGCATTGGCCAGAAGTCCTGCGAGAACACATGCCAAGGATCGAGCGATTTCCTCTTGCACCCCAGAGTCTCAATCAAGAACAACGTAAAATTCCCTATGGGATTCGCGTGGGCATGAGTTCTGCGAAAACACATGGCCAGGTCACGCGGTTCACCGACGCACATGCGCAGTTTTCAGATCTCCCCCCTTCCCCGCACCCATCCCGCCTTCCCCTCCTGCCTCCCGCCCCCTCCTGTCGCTCCACCCCCCTCCCGGGCTGCCTCCTCGTTCCCGTGGCCCCTGGGGCGCCTCGTGGCCCATGGCGCGCGGCCCGTTGCTCATGGCCCGCGGCCCGTGGACTGTTGCCCGTGCCCCGTGCCCCGTTGCCCAGTGGCCGCGGCCCCTGGCCCGTGCCCTGTCGCCAGTGCCTGGGCCGTTGGGTCCATTTGGTGCCCGGCGGCAGGTATCTGGTAACGCGCGTCGTCATGGCTGCGAAGTGCTCGGAATCTGAGGGCCCCAGGGGTTGCGAAGACACGATGAGGTCGGCTGGATGGCACAGCCAATAACACCTCGTTGATCGACCTATGCGCGCGCGCGTTTTGAAGTTAGTTCGTAGCGACTGGCCTCTGGTTGCGTTGCGATTGGCGTGCATTCGCGTTGCTTGCGACTGGGCCGCAATCTGGCTGGCTGGCTTTGGTTCTAAACCGATGGTTCTGGCGGTCAGCGGGCGTTATGACATCCGATTGCGTTCGCGCGTGCGTAGCCCTGCGAGCTGTGCGCAGCGCTTGCCTCGAGCCATAATACCTCCCCCCCTCTTCGTCACCCCCCTGTTTGCCGCTCCCGATCATGGGGGCAAACAATGGGACATGCCGTGAACATTGGAACTGCTTCTTTGGGCGGTCCCACAGAACGAGACCGTCCGATGGCTTCGTCCGTAGAGGAGGCGAGCAGCAGGAGGAGGAGGAGGAGGAGGAGGAGGAGGAGGAGGAGGAGAGAGACAGGAGGAGGAGCAGGAGGCGGAGGGGGAGGAGGCGAGGAGAAGGAGGAGGAGGAGGAGGAGAAGGAGGAGGAGGAGGAGGAGGAGGAGGTGGAGGAGGAGGAGGAGGAGGACGAGGAGGAGGAGGAGGGGAGGAGGAGGAGGCGGAGAAGCAGGAGGAGGGGGGAGGAGGGGGAGGGAGGAGGAGGAGGAGGAGGAGGAGGGGAGGAGGAGGAGGAGGAGGAGGAGGAGGAGGAGAGCAGAGGACGGAGAGGGGGAGGGAGAAGGACAGGAGCGCAAGGAGCGGAGGAGGAGGAGGAGGAGGAGGAGGAGGAGGAGGAGGAGGAGGAGGAGGAGGAGGAGGAGGAGGAGGAGGAGGAGGAGGAGGAGGGAGGAGGGAGGAGGGAGGAGGAGGAGGAGGAGGCGGAGGAGGCGGAGGACGAGGAGGAGGACGAGAGAGGAGGAGGAGAGGAGGAGGAGGAGGAGGAGGAGGAGGAGGCTTGACTATACTTAGCTCGTTGCAAGTTAGCTTGAGCGCAGCGGCCAACAGGACTGGCACAGGCTGCACACGAGAGGCCCGAGAGCATGGACGCTGAGCTGCTTCCGCTCTCGTCCCGAAAACTGTCGGGAGAGAGGTATTGGCGCTGCGGGAGGGGAAGAGAGGAAATAAATACGAAAGAGGAGGAGTTGGCAGCGCCGTGCGAAGAGAGACATCAGCGGGGCCCTGCTTCGTTGCCCATAGCAGGGCAGCCCTCGAGGCAGAGAGCAGTGCAGGGCTAGAAAAGAGATATCTGGCCTGGGAAAGCCTACCCAAATTAAGTAGACCGTGAGGAGAGAGGAGGAGCTGGACGGAGGGCCAAAATGGCCGTGGGCGGTCGAACCGCCTTGTTGCTGCTGAGCAGCGCGCTGGGGGAGGGAGAGGGAGGGAGGACAATCGGAGGCCAAGAGAGGAGGAGAGAGAGGACGAGCACATCGGGTCCCTCACGCCCGCCCACCCCGTTGAACGGGGTCGAGGGTACGCCCAGGGACCAGACGAACCCGTCCAGCAGCCTGAAAAAGGCCGGCTGCTAGGTGGAGGGGGGCCAATCAACTTTTGTCAGGTGAACAAGCGGCTCGGAGTAGGCTGCGCATGAACACCCCAGACATGGCCCCCCCCTCAAAAAGAGCGAAGCGTCAGTCTCCAGGGTTGCGCAGCGCGGGACTGTAGCCGCGCTGCCGCGCGACCGTGACTGCGCCCAGAGGCGGCGCCTGCCGGGCGGCCGCTACGACGGGGCGAAAAAGCCCAGAAGACTGGCCAGGAAGAAGACTGGAGGTGAAAACAATGCTTGCAGGCTTATCTGCCGACGAAAAGTGTGCTGCCTTATCTACCGTCGGAAAAAGCCAGTGCCAGAGAGTGCTGCATTATCGGCCGTCGAAAAGAGAGCTGCCTTACGCGCCGCCGAATTGAGTGCTGCATCGCCTGCCTGAGTGCTGCCTTCCTGCTCCGTTTTCCGTCTTCGGCGGAAAACTGACGGAGCTCGGGAGGTGGAGGAGATGGAGCGGAGCGGAGCTGCTGGGCTAGACGGTGGCCTCAAGGCGCGTCGCTAGACGCGGCATTGGCACTGGCACTGGCTAGTAACGCTCTGACCCTGGCCAAACACTCTTGAGTTTCCGCCTCATTCCTGGCGAAAAACGCTCTGACACTCTGCCGGGTACTGGCGGATACTGGCACTGGCTGCTCAGGCACTGCATGGCAATGGACTGCTGGCGCGGTCACTGAAGGAAGGACAGGTACAGGCACAGGGACTCCAGCGTCAGGCCGCGCTGCTGGCTCCGAAGCCGCCTCCACCGCATCTGGGGCAGATACTCCACGCAGGGGCCCCGCGGGAGCCACGACACCAGGATGCGCGGCGGCGCCAGGCACACGGCCAACCGGAGGATCGCCACCTCCGGGGAGACCAGCGCCACCGGCAGCCTGAACTGAACCAGCGCGGCCATCGGCATGGCCGTCGAGACTAGCAGCATGTACTGCACCAGCACCCGGAAGGCGAGCATCGGCATGGCCGTCGACACGAGCAGCATGAACTCCAGAAAGGCGAGCATCGGCATGGCCGTCGACACCAGCAGCCTGAACAGAACCAGCGCGGGCATCGGCATGGCCGACGACACCAGCAGCATGTACTGCACCAGCACCTGGAAGACGGACATCGGCATGGCCATCGACACGAGCAGCATGAAATCCGGCCTGCGCCGGACGGCTGCGGGCCCGTGACTGGCTGGCCGCGGGGCGTGCGCTGAGCCAGAAGCAGACCTCCGTGCGGCCGTCGGAGAAGCGGTGGCCGCGGTCCACCACGACAGCGTTACCAGCCTGCTCCTCGAGGGCCGTCAGGGCGCTGAGAAGCACGGCCCGCGCCGTGGGCGACGTGCGCGGCCGCGCGGGGTCGAGGACCACCTTGACCTTCCCGCGGCCCTCGATGGCGGCGGCGCCGAAGGTGAGGTGCGCGGCGGCTCCAGCGACGACCTGATCGCGCAGCCAGCGAAGGCGCGCGTGGACCACCATGGCACGAGAGAGCGCAGGGGCGCTGAGAAAGTAACGGAACAAGCAAGAGCTTGAGCGAAATGGTTACTGGAGGAGGAGGAGGGAGGAGGGAGGAGGGAGGAGGAAGAGGAGTAGGAGGAGGAGGAGGTGGAGGAGGAGGAGGAGGAGGAGGAGACGAGGAGGAGGAGGAGGAGGAGGAGGAGGAGGAGGAGGAGGAGAGAGAGGACGGAGAGGGGGAGGGAGAGAAGGAACAGGAGCGCAAGGAGCGGGGAGGAGGAGGAGGAGGAGGAGGAGGAGGAGGAGGAGGAGGAGGAGGAGGAGGAGGAGGAGGAGGAGGAGGAGGAGGAGGAGGAGGAGGAGGAGGAGGAGGAGGAGGAGGAGGAGGAGGAGGAGGGGAGGAGGAGGAGGAGGAGGAGGGAGGAGGGAGGAGGGGAGGAGGAGGAGGAGGAGGAGGAGGAGGAGGAGGAGGAGGAGGAGGGAAGGAGGAGGAGGAGGAGGAGGAGGAGGAGGAGGAGGAGGAGGAGGAGGAGGGAGGAGGGGAGGAGGGAGAGGAGGAGGAGGAGGAGGAGGAGGAGGGAGGAGGAGGAGGAGGAGGAGGAGGGAGGAGGAGGGAGGAGGAGAGGGAGGAGGAGGAGGAGGAGGAGAGGAGGAGGAGAGGAGGAGGAGGAGGAGGAGGGGAGGAGGAGGAGGAGGAGGAGGAGAGAGGAGGAGGAGGAGGAGGAGGAGGAGGGAGGAGGGAGGAGGAAGAGGAGGAGGAGGAGGAGGAGGAGGTGGAGGAGGAGGAGGAGGAGGAGGAGGAGGAGGGAGGAGGAGGAGGAGGAAAGGGGGCCGGAGCGGGCCCCTTCCTCCGGAGCTCTCGGGACCCTCCTGTCGAGGCAGCCTCGGGGGCTTCTGCCTGAAGGACGGCGCCGAGCCCGAGTGCAACCAGGCGGGGGCCCGAGCCCAGGAGAGGCGGAGGACGTGGGAGAAGGAAGTTCGAGGCTCGAGTTTCATCGGTGGCACGCTCAGGGGCGAAGGCAGAGCAGGCGGGCCGCATCAGAAGGCTCAGAAGGCCTCTGGCCCTCTTAGAAGCTTTCTAAGCCTTTGCCGAAGCATCGATACCGTCTGAGACCCCCTCGCTTGCCCCCACGGCGCGCCGCCGAGAAAGCACTCATACAGCACGTCCTGCCCGCTTCATGTCGGGTCTTTTCGAGGCCCACTGCGTGCCCAAGGGCCCGCGGCGGAGGTGCGAGGTCCGTACGATGTTTTTCACCCTTTTTCACGGTCCCGAGGCCTGGTACCCAGAGGCCGAGTATTGTGGAAAACCTCCAGTCGTGATCGTTGTACATCGCGAGGGGATCCAGGGAGGGCCTCTGGTTTTTTCGGGCCGTTCCCTGCACGTAGGTCGGGTGGTCTGCCCTTGGCCCGGGCTCGCCGCGGCCAGAAAAGAGCCACTTGGCTCCGAACGCAGGAGTCTTGCGCGATACGCGCAGTCTCCGATCTGGCGTGCGTGCTGTTCGAAGCCTCGCGTCGTGCTGCCTAAGTGCAGGCGTTGATGAGTCGCTCTCCTCTTCCTCCGCCTTTGTTGCGGGCTCTTTGGGGGCCTCGTAGAGTCGGGGGCCCCCAAACGGGGTGGTGACCACACCGTGTGGTGAGTCGGTGGGGATTCGGGGTCACCGCACGGTTTTGGGACTCGGGTCGTTCTCCGAGGATGTCTCGGGCGACTGGAGCCTCCAGGGTCCCACATCCGTGCGCTGACGGATCGTGCGGTGAGGTCTTGGGGGGGTTCGAGGTCACCGCACGGTCTGTCACCGCACCGTTTCGGGACTCCAAATAGATGCATCTTTTAGAGCTTGTTTTCGAAACTCCCGGGAGCTTTTTGTTGAGCCCTCTGGCAGCTTCTTGGGGGCATGCTCGGGGTCTTTTTATGGGGCCATATGTTGGTGGGGGGATCACCGCGTCCCTGTGGGTTCCCCCTGTTTGGCCTTGGGGCCCTTCTGGGGGTCCTCTTGAGGGTACTGTGTGCCGTAGAATGCCCTGTTAGACCGTCTCTGGGCTTACTTGGGGGCCTCTTGGCCTGCTTGGGCCAGTCTGCAGGGCCTCCATCGCTGTTTCGGGTTTGCAGGTGTCCAAAAGGCGAGAGCGTGAGAATCATGCAACACTCAATGGAACATGATTTCGGCCTCTTGAGGCCCTCTTGGGTGTCCCCGTGGGGGCGTCTTTCGGAGTCTTGGGCTGTGTTGAGGCTATCTTGGGTGTTCCTGTGACCTCTCCTGCGCGTTGGGGCCCGGTTGGAGCCATCATAGAGAGCGTTTTCGGCATCTTGAATGCCAAGGAGGGTTGATTTTGAGGCCAGGCTCTAAGGGCCCCAGAGGTGCGTTGGGGAGCTCGTCCCCCCGCCCCTCCCTGACGGGATTTCGGACCCCACGGGAGGGTAAAAGGAGGACAGGTGACAGCCAATCCCCGCTTGCAAGCGGGGGTCGGCGGATGAGGCCCTTCTGGCAGCACTAGGGCTGCAGCTGCTGCCAGCGTTGGCGCGAAGAAGAGAGCCACATCTGGCAAACGGCCCGCCCTCCATCCGTGCAGCTGCTGCAGGTTGTTTCTGTTGGCCGAAACAAGAAACGAGTCGTCCTCCAAGCAGAGGTCGACAATTCCAAGTCTCAGGATCACGCGCAAGCGGGGCAGTGTCTGACGAGATGCCCATGGCCTCCCTGCCGGCACGTCCACTGATGCGACGAGGAGGAGCTGGAAGAGGGCCAGGGGATGAGGAGGATGAGAGGAGGGGCACGGGGGAGGGCTGGAGAAGCAATGGGGAGGAGTGAGGAGGGAAGCAGGGGAGGGACGGAGGGGAGAGGAAGAGGCAGGAGGAAGGGGGGGAGAGGAGGAACCATGGGAAGGGAGGAGGGATGCAAGGAGTGAGGGAGAGATGGATGAAAGTAAGGAGGAGGAAGGAGGCAGTGGAGAGGAGGATGTGAGGAGGGGGTGAGGGAGGGAGGCAGGAAGAGGACGAGGGACGCAGGGGAGAGAAAGATGGGAGAGAACGAGGGGAGGGACGACGAGGGGCAGGGGAGGGGAGGGAGGCTCCTCTCCTGGCCCGGCCGATCCGCGGCAGACCCTCGACGTGGACTGGGTTCGGGTGTCCGAGCTCTCTTAGGGCCTGCCGGCTGCACGGCGGAGCCGGCCGCTTGCACAAAACCGCCTCTCGCTTGCGCCACCACGTCCCCCTCCTCAGAGAAGGCAAAGGTTGAAGCAGTGGCGAAGCGTCCCGGCGCGCCTATAGGCCTACCAAACAAGTTCTAAGAACATGTTGTGGTTTCTACGAAATGTTCTTAGAGCATTTCTGGTTGGGTCTGTCTTGTTCTAACACATCGGGCTTGTTCTAAGAACCTTGTTTTTGTGTTTAGAACATTTTTGGGGTTCTGAGAACATACCGTGGTAGGCCGATAGGAATGCCAGCCATACCTCTACCCTTCCCTCGTTTTCCCATTTTGGGGCTTCCTGGGAGGTCCTCGTCGTCACCGCTGGATTCGCCTCGAAATCCGAGTCTGAACGCACCCCAGGAGAGGTCCTGGGAGTAGCAGTATCGGTACCTGTTGGTTTCCCCACCGGACGCGTCCACTCCATCTCCAACATCATGTTAGAGATTAAGATCGTTGCACTTGCGCCGGTGCCTCTTGCCTTTGGCAACTTTTGTGGCAACGCTGCTGCGCGCCCTGTGGCCAGCTGCAGTACTCGTGATCTCATGTATTTGGGTAGTTGCGCATTGTCCCTAGACTCTGTGAGCGAATTCAGCCAGACAGCAAACATACTGATCTGGCTACAGTTGTCTGACGAGCCTCTTCGACTGGCTCGTGATGTTTTTGGTGTTGGAGCCAAATGCGAATCCACACCCGTCGGCCTCGGGCTCAGAGCGCTGGCGCTCTTCGTGCTTTTTTTCCAAGCAGCTATTGGCAATTCAAGCCCGACTCGCTTTAGCGAAACCTCCGCGCACCACATCGGTTGGTTGTTACCAACATGGTGCCTTCTATTGGAACTGGCGGTCAAGCTCGCCAAAATTGTAGGTGCAAGCTGTCGGCAGGGGCCTCCTCGTGCCGCCTTTTGTGGACCGCTCGTCCGAGCGCGTGCCCCCCCGCCCAGAGTCAGTCTCTGCAGGGGCTGCACGAAGAGGCCGCTAGTAGAGCCATAGGTCCGCCACGCGAGCACTACAGGAGCCCAAGACCCCCTGGCGCCAGGAAGAGGTCACGACGAAAGGTTGTTGTTCGCTGTCTTCGGCCTCAGGGGGAGCCCTTGCCCGGCCTCGGGGCCGTCAAACCAAGACTCGGGGCGAACCACCGGTCCCGGGGAAGGGGTCCAGACCTCTCGGGGTCAACGTTGTGAAAAAATGACGACGTCGGGGGTCTGGGGAGGGGGGGAAGTGAGAAGGAGGAGGCCTTCTCAGAAGGCGGCCGGGCTTCTCAGAAGGCCTCTGGTCTTCTTCGAGGCATTCTGGCCTTCGGGGGAGGCCTAGAAAGCTTTTCAGATAGCTGGAGGACTTCCGGGCCTTCGGAGGAGGCCCGCCCCTTTGCACTTGCACCCTGGGCTCGCCGCCGAGTCACGAGAGTCCGGGGGGGGTATTGGTGCAGCTCGAGGGTATCGCGTGTCTCGACTGAAGCTCCGGCTTCTCTCTCAGAGTCTCGGCGGCGCGGTACCATGGGCGCAAGGAGGTATGCATCCGGCCCCCCCCCCCCCCCCACACACACACACACACACACCGAACCTGCCAGTTGAGGGCCTGATTTCCGTGCAGGACGTGTGATTGAATTCTTGCCAGGTCGAGCGCGAACCACAGCAGAATGCATTCCTGCGATCCTTGCCAGGCTGAACATGTACCACAACCGACGAGCGTCCTGTTCGACGCTCAGAATGGGTGCGGAAAAACATGGGTACGATGTCCAACAACAAGAGTTGTCTCAAACCGACAGCGGCCGATGTTCGGCAGGCGGCCTCCTGTCTCAAATGGACGACGTCCGCGGCGACACCGACAGCGAGCCCTGCCCAAAACGAGCAGGGACAGCTGTCGGTCCCCGTGCCCCTTCTTTTTGTACCCATTATTCCCGTACCCATTCCGGTCGTGCCGAGTCCTCCTCCTTAGCCCCAGGCCCCCGACGTCATGATTTGTCCGAGGTCTCGACCCATTCCCCGGGACCGGTTTTTCGTCCTCAGTCGTTTCTTGACGGTCCCAAGGGCCCCCCCCCCCCCCTGGACTACAGGCCCCCCCCCTGGAATATTGGTCACCCCAGAACTATTGAGGTACTCAGAGTAAGGGCCCCCCGGAGGCCAAAAACAGCGAAAAACTTCCCGGCGTGATCTTTTCCCGACTCGAGGGCGTGATCTCTTCGTGCCTCGAGGGGGTCTGGGCCCCTTGCCCCCGCCCAGATCAGGAAGGTCCCTTGGCTGCCCACCCGGCCAGTGCCCGGCTCCAGTCCCTGCAGCGGCCAGCCCGGGCTGCGAGGCCCTGTCGGCCAGCCGCACCCGCGCGCTCCACGCGGCCATCCCGCGGCGGCGCGCCATTGCGGGCAGGGCTCCCAGACTCCAGCCTACTTTAGCTTACTCCGAGTTTCTTGATAAGCATCGGGTCCAGGAGATCCGCGCGGACCGTCGACAGCTTGTGTTCATACAGCTTTTGTTCTTCCTGCATGGCGGCCCCGAGGCCGAAACGGGCCCCGCCAGAAGCCACGGGTGGAGCAACCCGGAATCGTCCGCGCGATCTTGCCGTGACGCCGGAGGTCCGGGAGCCCCCTCCGCGCGCCGCGGGCGCCGCTCGGGAGGCCGTGCGGCCAGCGCGCCAGCGCACGCGCGCGGCGCACGAAGGCGCCGCGCTCCAGCCATCGCAAGCTAATGTTCGGCCCGAGCGCGCTGCGCGGTCGCGAAAGCCCTTCCCTGGGTATCTTCCTTCCTCCTCTTGGGCAAGCCGCAGGCGCTCTAGGCGTGAGGCGTCTGAGTTCCTCCTCCTCCTCCTCCTCCTCCTCCTCCTCCTCCTCCTCCTCCAGGCTCATTGTGTCCGCTTCCTGTCTCCATCCGTCTCCTTCTCACCCTCCTTAGCTAGACACGCAGATGCCTTCCCTCTCGACCAGGCACCCTCTCACCCAGTGGGCATGAGGTCCGCTCTGAGCATGTGCCCTCGAGGCAAAGTGACTCGCCGAGGAACGAACGTGCCTCACACCCACGCAGGGGTGCACCGTGTGCGTGTGCAGCATGACTCAGACTGTATGCACCCCCTAGCGCAGAGTCGAGCCGAGCCGAGCTTCAATCTCGTTTTCCCTTTCTTCCAGCGTCCAAACCCATTTGCTGGGGGTTTGTAGTCGGCCCAGCTGCCGTGGAGTCGGGGGGAGGCCGAAAATGGAGCAGGTCGATGACCCATGGAACGTAGGATAGCCCAAACGCATGCTCACCTCGTAAACTTCCGCCGACACTATTGAGGCCATTGGTGGCCCTCAGCGCACCGCGGCCCACACTCCGCAGGGCCTCTGAGGACAATCGCACGTTCGCCGCGTGTGGGCGAAAAACACATCCGTACCCGCGGCCTCGCGGGCCGGGCCCTTGGGGCCGCGACCCCACGGATACGGGGCGCTTTTGTTCGTGGATGCCCCGCGCGGAGCGTACCCGTGCGACCGCGTATCCGCGGGATCGCTCCCCGAAATCCAAACCGCAATGGGCGTGGACATGGATACATTCGCCGCTCGTGAGCCGTAACACACGTATTTGGCATCATCGAGCAGGGTGGGGTCTGAGGGAGCAGGGTCGACTGGAGCGGGTCGGATGCCGGGAGGGTCGCGAGGGGCAGACGCGCCTTTTCTCCAGGTGGCCCAAGCACTGCCGCCGCCCCCCCCCCCCCCCGCCCCCTCCCCACCCGCTCCACCCTCTTGTTCTCCACCTTCTTTTACTCCTCCTCACCATGCTTCTCCTCACCCTATTACACCTCCGCAACTTTCCGCACCCTTTTCCATAGCCTCCTTCCTTCTCTCTTCTGTCTCCGCTTTCGTCCTCCTACTCCGCCTCCTCCTTCCCCGCCTTCCTACTCGATCCCCTCTTTTTGGTGCTCGCTCCTGCCGACGGCAGCACTGACTTTGTTGAAGGATCGGCCCCGAAACGCGACTTGATCCATTTACACACCGCGGACCAATCCTCATGTGTGGCAGAGAATATTGAATTCACTGCTGCGTTGCTACTTGAGCTACACGAATCACCGCTGATACCTCAGCGTGAGAGTCTGACCTTGCAGCGGAGCGAGGATGCCATTGTCGTCGGCAAGGTTGAGCGGCAGTAGCTGTTGTAGCTCAAACTCAGGACGATGGTTCACCACTTCAACATTGCAAGAATTGCCAGCAGCACGCGGCACCCAAAGCACCGAATGTTGTACCAACACGCACTCAACCTCCCGCGGCTCACATGCGACATGTAGACCCGCTACGGACTGCGGGTTCAGCATGCATGGATGCGTTGATGCCGCCATCTCCGAGTCCCCGATAGGTTGATGTGTTCAGCACTGCCCAACATCGAAAACAAACTACCCTACAAGAATAGTAGCCACGCAGTGCAGGTCAGCCAGATTGCGCAGGGCAATCAGCCCTGGCGCCATTTCAAGCATCGTACGAGTATCGAAGAAGTGTTGCATCCAAACAAACCTAACAAGGCGGGGAATAGTTTGTCATGGAGCTGATCCGGACTATCGGAATCAAACTCGGACACCCCGTACAAAACCTCACGGTGGATGATATGGTACATATGTCGTTCGAAGAGTTTGCTTCAACACATAGTGCAGGCTTCGTCGATACAACTTATGCATGTTTACGCTCGTACGGCTCACTTCTGGAGGACTGATGTAATTCAGCAAGCATATCATCACGTCGATCACGGTGTCTTGCGCCATCAGGACAGCCCGTATTGACTTCAAAACAAATCGACATCAGTACGAGTCGTCGAAGCCGCAGTGCCGCGGCCAGGCAATGCAGAGGCCAAGTTGGTCAGCGCCCCGTGTATCAAGGGACGAGCGCCTTTGTGTCGGACTATGCCCACCATCAGCGGTGAATCGAGTGGTCTACGGCCCATTCCACCCTTCGCGCTTGCGTCACGGGACAGCGGCGTATTGGATGCCTCCTGGAGTCTCTTGGGATG